TCCTTTTATCCATTGGAAAAGGCTCTTCCACCAGGACCTCCCTCTTTCCCCATCCACACCACACTTCCCTCTGAAGTCCTCCATGTGCACTAAACTCCAAGAATGTTATCATGGTGGAAAATAAACTGAACTTCTTCATAGATTCATTTCCCGAAGCCTCTGAAATCTGCTGGAGATGTGATGAGGCAGCTGTCACCTTCTCTTGGTCCTGGTCCAGATCCAGAAATCTGTGGTTAGAGATTAGAGCTATGTCTGGGAACGTCAGACTTCCACCTCCCTCACCACCCTTCTGTCTCTCTTACATCGATCTTCCATACCCATCAAAGCATTCCAGAAAGCCATCCTCCATGCCAACCATCAGAACTCCATTTTCACCCTTTATGCCCAGCACTCATCAGAAATCCATTGTCCATGCCCACCCACGTGTACCAAAAATGTATTCTGCATCCGCCATAACCATGGTTGTACTGGAATTCCATCCTCCTACCCACCAAAGTGCCCACCATCCTCCATACCACCAAGGTGTAAATCTATTCTAAATCTATCCTCCTGGGTAAATGCATCTCTCCTACCTCCACTCCTAATTCAAAATCACATTTTCACTCCGGTTATATTCAGTACAAATGGGTGTATTTATATCTGTGTGTGATGACCAGTCCTCACCTCCAGCTGCACCCGGTATATGACTGTAGCCTGTTCCCTGAGAACCATCCCCCACTATTCATGTGATCCTGATCAGCTTCTAATTGGGGTGGAGTTGAATGCTCATTTGAGCATCTCCCTATAAATTGAGATCAGCTCATGGGGGGGAGATCACTGATGGGGGGCAAGTCTCTGATGGGGGGAGATCACTGATGGGGGCACAGTCTCTGATGGGGGGAGATCACTGATGGGGGGCACAGTCTCTGATGGGGGGAGATCACTGATGGGGGGCACAGTCTCTGATGGGGGGAGATCACTGATGGGGGGCACAGTCTCTGATGGGGGGAGATCACTGATGGGGGGCACAGTCTCTGATGGGGGGAGATCACTGATGGGGGGCACAGTCTCTGATGGGGGGCGATCACTGATGGGGGGCACAGTCTCTGATGAGGGGAGATCACTGATGGGGGGCACAGTCTCTGATGGGGGGAGATCACTGATGCGGGGGGGGGGCACAGTCTCTGATGGGGGGCGATCACTGATGGGGGGCACAGTCTCTGATGGGGGGAGATCACTGATGGGAGGCACAGTCTCTGATGGGGGGAGAGACATCACTGAGGGGAGGCACAGTCTCTGATGGGAGATCACTGACGGGGGGCACAGTCTCTGATGGAAGATCACTGACGGGGGGCACAGTCTCTGATGGGGGGTGCTGCTTCTGATTGAGTGCGGCTTCGAAAGAGTGCGATGCAGTTAAACACAGCAGTTAAACTAAAGCAGGAGAACTCAAGCAGCAGGAAGACACAACAGCATAAACTCTCCTGCACGCTGACAGACTGCAATCAATCCCCCGGGAACATCTCTTACATACCTGAGTCCCACTCCGTGTACCTTTATATAATACTCCCCTCTTCTCCTCATCATATTACTATCCTCTGTTCCCAAATCTCACTTCTTTACCCCTCTGCTCCACCCCAAAAACTTGTACATCTCCCCCTCATTGCTATCATCTCCCTACTACTGCTCTCATCACCTCCCCAAAATGCCTCTTCCACTCCTCCTTCTCATTTACCTCTCCTCCGTTCCCAAAATCCATTCACTATATCCCTCTGCCCCTCCCAAACATTTGTATATTGTGTCCTCACTGCTTCCTTCGCCCCTCTATGGCACCCACCACCTCCTCCTATTACTCCTCTCCCACTGACCCCAACACCTCCACTAGTAGTTTCTCCTGCACATCCCGCTCCCATGCCACCTTTCTCACCCTTCTCCTCCTAGCCGTGGGGGACATCTCCCCGAATCCTGGCCCTCCACCACCTCCCTCACCCGCACAACACCTTCCCACCTCCACGTCCTGCCGCAACCCCCGCAACCTAGTATCTGTCCCCCTGCTCCCTAAAATCTCCCCCCCCCCCCCCCGTTTTCATGTGCACTCCTGAACGCCCGATCTGTGTGCAACAAGCTCACCGCCATCCACGACCTCTTTGTTTCCCGCTCCCTCAACCTCCTAGCGATCACAGAAACCTGGATCCAGCCCCACTGACTCCACCTCCCCTGCTGCACTCTCCTACGGAGGTCTCACCTGGACCCACTCACCCAGACCCAACGGTCGTAAAGGTGGTGGGGTTGGTCTGCTCCTGTCACCGCAGAGCACCTTCCGAGTCCTCCCAAACCCCCCCTCCCTATCCTCCTCCTTCGAGGCCCACTGAGTCCGACTATTCTCCCAACCCCCCTGAAGATTGCTGTGATATACCGGCCTCCTGGATCCATATCCCGCTTCCTGGATGACTCCTCCTCCTGGATCCATACCCCGCTTCCTGGATGACTCCTCCTCCTGGATCCATACCCCGCTTCCTGGATGACTCCTCCTCCTGGATCCATACCCCGCTTCCTGGATGACTCCTCCTCCTGGATCCATACCCCGCTTCCTGGATGACTTCTCCTCCTGGACCCCGTATCCCGCTTCCTGGATATGACTTCCCTCCTGGCTACCCTTCTTCCTCTCCTCTGAGCTACCCCACCATCATCCTTGGGGATTTCAACATCCCTGTCAACCTCGACAACCCGGACACATCCCATCTCCTCCACTTAACCTCCTCCTCCTTTGCACTTGCACAGTGCATACAATCCACCACCCACTCTAACGGTAATATCCTTGATCTTGTCTTCTCCAACCGCTGCGCTCCCCACAGCCTCACTAACACCCCCTTCCCTCTCTCTGACCACAACCTGATCACCTTCTCTATCTCCTCGTCCTCCAACACCTACCCCTCCAAATGTCACACTACTACCAGCCGTAACCTCCGCAACCTGAACCCTGCCCCCCTCCACTCTGCAGCTGATCAACTCCATGACCGCATCCTCCCCCTGTCCTGCCCCGACTTGGCTATGACCGCCTGCCTACAACAACGCGCTGTCAGCAGCCCTTGACTCACTAGCGCCTTTAACCACACGCAACATCAGACCCCGACGCTCAGCCCTGGCAGACTGATCACACCAAAACCCTCAAACGACACAGTCGTGCCCTGGAGCGCCTATGGCGCAAAACCAAATCCCAACAAGCCTTCACCCGCTACAAATCTGCCTTCCACACCTACACCTCCTCCCTCCATGCAGCCAAACAAGCCTACTTCCTGACCCTCATCAAGGCCCTCTCCTCCAATCCTCGCCGACTCTTCTCCACCTTCAACTCTCTACTCTCTACCACCCAGCACCTCACCACCCCCCACCCCCACCCAGCACCACCTCACTCACCGCTCTCCCCCCCCCCCCCCCCAATCATCCCCACCCAGCACCTCACTCACCGCCCTCGAGATTGCCAATCACTTCAAAAACAAGATTGACACAATTCACAAGGACTTCCGCCGCAACTCACACACCCTCTCAACCCGTCCCCTCTCACACAGCTACCCCCTCATCCCCCCTCCCCCTCGACATTACCCACAGGGACTTCGTCGCTGCTCAAACTCCCTCCAACCCCCTTCACCCTCACTCAGCTACTCCCTCATCACCCCTCTCCCACGGCCCCACCACTGCTCTGACCTCCTCTTCCACCCCACCCTACATTCCTCATACTGAAGCCCCCCCAACACTCCGCACCTTTGACCTTACTACCATCGAGGAAGTCTCCAAGATCCTCTCTGATGCCCGCCCTCACCACCTGCCCCCCCCCTCGACCCCATCCCCTCACAACTCCTACGACCTCCCTCCCCCCTCCATCCTACGCTCCCTCACCCACATCTTCAATCTCTCCCTCTCCTCCGGCACTTTCCCCTCCCCTCTGAAACACGCCCACATCACCCCCATACTTAAAAAGCCCTCCCTGGACCCTAATGACCCGAACAACCTCAGACCCATCTCCCTGCTCCCATTTACATCCCAAAACTCCTCGAGCGCCTCGTCTACACCCGCCTATGCTCTCACCTCAACGACAACAACCTCCTCGATCCCCTACAGTCCGGCTTCCGTCCCCTACACTCCACTGAAACCGCCCTACACTCCACTGAAACCACCGAAACCGCCCTACACTCCACCGAAACCTCCCTACACTCCACCGAAACCGCCTTACTCAAACTCTCCAACGACCTTCTAACCGCCAAAGCTAATGGCCGCTATTCAGTGCTCCTACTCCTTGACCTCTGTGCGGCCTTCGACACAGTTGACACACCCCCTCCTCCTCAAAATACTACACTCCCTCGGCCTCAGAGATTCTGCTCTCTCCTGGCTCTCATCCTACCTGTCACAACGCTCTTTCAGTGTTACCTATAATGCTACCACCTCCCCCTCACTCCCCCTCTCTGTTGGGGTCCCTCAAGGCTCTGTCCTTGGGCCCCTTCTCTTCTCCATCTACACCTCCTCCCTTGGCCAACTCATACACTCTCACGGCTTCAACTACCACCTCTATGCCGACGACACACAAATCTATCTCTCAACCCCCCACCTCACCCCCTCGGTCTCCCCCCCCACCTCACCCCCTCAGTCTCTGCCCGAATCACACACCTGCTGAGCGACATATCAGATTGGATATCGCTCCACTTCCTTAAACTGAATCTCTCCAAAACCGAGTTTCTTGTCTTCCCCCCAGCCTGGACACCACCCCCCCATTGACTTCTCCATCACATCCAACAACGCCACCATCAAACCCGCCCCGCAGGCCAGAGTACTGGGTGTCATTCTGGACTCCAACCTATCCTTCCAGCCCCAAGTCCAATCTTTTAACAAACTCGTGCAGACTCCACCTCCGCAACATGCAGACTCCGCCTCCGCAACATGCAGACTCCACCTCCGCAACATTGCCAAAATCCGCACGTTCCTAACCCCAGAAACCACTAAACAGCTCATCCACTCCCTCATCATATCACGACTCGACTACTGCAACTCCCTCCTCACTGGCCTACCTCGCCGCTGGCTATCCCCGCTTCAGTCCATCCTGAATACGGCAGCCAGCAACTCATTCACCTTTTACAACCACTCTGTTTACACCACCCCCTCTCTGCCAATCCCTCCACTGGCCTCCACTCAGTGTCCTCCACCCCCCTCTGCCAATCCCTCCACTGGCCTCCACTCAGTGTCCTCCACCCCTCTCTGCCAATCCCTCCACTGGCCTCCACTCAGTGTCCTCCACCCCCCTCTGCCAATCCCTCCACTGGCCTCCATTCAGTGTCCTCCACCCCCCTCTGCCAATCCCTCCACTGGCCTCCATTCAGTGTCCTCCACTCCCCTCTGCCAATCCCTCCACTGGCCTCCATTCAGTGTCCTCCACCCCTCTCTGCCAATCCCTCAACTGGCCTCCATTCAGTGTCCTCCACCCCCCTCTGCCAATCCCTCAACTGGCCTCCATTCAGTATCCTCCACCCCCCTCTGCCAATCCCTCCACTGGCTTCCGATTGCGCAACGGATCAAATTTAAAATCCTAACTCTGACGTACAAAGCCGTCCACCATACTGCCCCGAACTACATCACCGACCTAATATCCAAGTACCGCCCCAACACGCACACTCCGCTCCTCACAAGACCTCCTTCTCTCTAGTTCCCTGGTCTCCTCCTCCCACGCCCGCCTCCAGGACTTCTCCAGGGTGTCACCCATCCTCTGGAACTCCCTTCCCCAACCCATCAGACGATCACCTACTCTCCTCTCCTTTAGGCACACCCTGAAAACCCATCTCTTCAGGGAAGCCTATCCCCTGCTAACTTGACCGACCTCCTCCACTCTTCCTACCACTCCATCCCCCCACAGCTATCTCCTCCTGTACCACCATCCCCTCCCTCCTAGATTGTAAGCTCCAAGGATCAGGGCCCTCGATCCCCTCATGTTTTGCATTGTATTGGTATTGTTCTGTCACATGTTCTGTCCCCCTTTGTAATGTACAGCGCTGAGCCAACTATCGGCGCTTTATAAAATACTGTATAATAATAATAATATAATAATTCTCCATGCCCATCAAAGTGTAACAGAAATCCATTTTTCATCCTCCATGCCCACCACCCACCAGAAATCCATCCTCCATGCCCACCAAGGCGTATTGGAAAGCTATTCTCCATCCTCCATGCCCACCAAGGTGTACTGGAAATCCATCCTCCATGCCCACCGAGGCATACCAGAAATCCAGTCTCCATGCCCACCGAGGCATACCAGAAATCCAGTCTCCATGCCCCGCCTCATCTGCCAAGGTAAGGAAGTACAATGGATGGAAGACATCAGCTCTTCATCCCTAAACAAATACGAGGCCCACGAGCCAGCATGGATTTACTGGTTTGACTTCACATACAAATCCGAAGGACAGTCACTACGATTTGGAGACTCGGCCCCACTAACCTCCTCATACCCTGCCTGTGTGGTCCCCCCCTCACTCATCTCCTTGCCCCCCCGCCCCCTTCCACTGACTCCCGTGGATTATTACCTGCAGTCTTATGTACTATCTGAGGTCACCCCCCAAACAACAGATCAGATATTACCCCCGAATCTCCCCACCCCGACTCTCGGGGGCACTGCAGACTCTAGAACGTGGCACTACCGCGAGGTCGGAGGTCATGTATGGCAGTCCTTACAGTAGGATCTTCCTACACGGAGTTTCCTTTTATTTGGCCTCTTCACCTAGAACTCTACATGAAGGCTGTGCCATACGTGGCTAACGGGGACGTGGAGGGCAAAAATAAAACGTTTACAACAGAAAAAGTACAACCCAGAGACTTTATCTGCCATGTATGGGTAAGTCTGATGTACCGGCCGCGTGCTGCAGTGCTGTGACCCCTCCCCCCCCCCCCCACAACGTGTAGGACATCCCTGACCCAGAGGCCAGGACTGGGCAAGGAAGAGGCTCCTCTATAATCATTTATAGAGATTGTATACAAATCTTCGATGATTTCTTCAGACTCCTTTCTTCAGCAGCAGTTCTAAGAAGTGCCATGAGGGGGCGCCACATGCAATGAGAAACATTGTTCCCTCTGTATGCCAACAGCATGGAATAGGAGATTCTTCAGTTACAGGAATAGGCCACAAGGAGGCGCCAAAGGTCCAAAATATCCTTACTACTGTCAGACTTCACTGACCAATCGTAGCTGATCGACCAGTTGCAGCTGACCGACCAATCACAGACAACAGACCAATCGCAGACAACAGACCAATTGCAGCTGACCGACCAATCGCAGACAATTGACCAATTGCAGCTGACCGACCAATCGCAGACAATTGACCAATTGCAGCTGACCGACCAATCGCAGACAATTAACCAATCAACCAATCGCAGAAAACCAACCAATTGCAGCCGACCGACCAATCACAGACAATTGAACAATCAACCAATCGCAGCCGACCGACCAATCGCAGACAATTGACCAATTAACCAATCGCAGCCGACCGACCAATTGCAGACAATTGACCAATCAACCAATCGCAGCCGAACGACCAATCACAGACAATTGAACAATCAACCAATCGCAGACAATCAAACAATCGACCAATCGCAGACAAATTCTGTATCTGTTCGTAAACTGAGGTTCCTCTATAATCGCCTTCAGATTTCACTGAGGAACCCGTCTGTCCATAGAAGAGGAGAGGACGCAGATACTGCACACCCGACTCGCCCCAAATCCAGGGAGACACCAGACACCCCAAAATTCAAGGGGTGACCCTAAAATCCAGGGTGTCACTCTCAAGTATCGCCCTTGGTTTTGTTTCCTTCACCGAAAATCTGACCCAACTACCCTCCCCCAATATCTCCCAGATCACCCCACAAATATTTCCAGGAAAAGAGGATATTAGTTCCAGCTATCGGCCATCGAATTTCTACTTCATAATACACACTGGATGTAATTCTCCGCACCCCCCACACTCCTCTCCTGTACACGGTGCCCACCGTCGCACCCCCCACACTCCTCTCCTGTACACGGTGCCCACCGTCGCACCCCCCACACTCCTCTCCTGTACACGGTGCCCACCGTCGCACCCCCCACACTCCTCTCCTGTACACGGTGCCCACCGTCACACCCCCACACTCCTCTCCTGTACACGGTGCCCACCGTCGCACCCCCCACACTCCTCTCCTGTACACGGTGCCCACCGTCGCACCCCCCACACTCCTCTCCTGTACACGGTGCCCACCGTCGCACCCCCCACACTCCTCTCCTGTACACGGTGCCCACCGTCGCACCCCCCACACTCCTCTCCTGTACACGGTGCCCACCGTCGCACCCTCCACACTCCTCTCCTGTACACGCCGATCACTGTCACACCCTCCACACTCCTCTCCTGTACACGGTGCCCACCGTCGCACCCCCCACACTCCTCTCCTGTACACGGTGCCCACCGTCGCACCCTCCACACTCCTCTCCTGTACACGCCGATCACTGTCACACCCTCCACACTCCTCTCCTGTACACGGTGCCCACCGTCGCACCCCCCACACTCCTCTCCTGTCCACGGTGCCCACCGTTGCACCCCCCACACTCCTCTCCTGTCCACGGTGCCCACCGTCGCACCCCCCACACTCCTCTCCTGTACACGGTGCCCACCGTCGCACCCTCCACACTCCTCTCCTGTACACGGTGCCCACCGTCGCACCCTCCACACTCCTCTCCTGTCCACGGTGCCCACCGTTACCCTCCCCCCGTACTTCTCTCCTGTACACGGTGCCCACCGTCATACCCCCACACTCCTGTGCACGGTGCCCACCGTCACACCCCCCACACTCCTGTTCTGCACACGGTGCCCACCGTCGCACCCCCCGCACTCCTCTCCTGTACACGGTGCCCACCGTCATACCCCCACACTCCTGTCCACGGTGCCCACCGTCACACCCCCCGCACTCCTCTCCTGTACACGGTGCCCACCATCATACCCCCCACACTCCTCTCCTGTACACGGTGCCCACCGTCATACCCCCACACTCCTCTCCTGTATACGGTGCCCACCGTCACACCACCCCCCGCACTCCTCTCCTGTACGTACCGATCACCATCACAGCCCCCACACTCATCTCCTGTACGTACCTATCACTGTCATACCTCCACACTCCTCTCTTGTAGGCACCTATCACTGTCATACCTCCGTACTCCTCTCCTGTACATACTGATCACTGTCATACCTCCACACTCCTCTCCTGTACATACCGATCACTGTCATACCTCCACACTCCTCTCTTGTACGTACCTATCACTGTCATACCTCCGTACTCCTCTCCTGTACATACCGATCACTGTCATACCTCCGTACTCCTCTCCTGTACATACCGATCACTGTCATACCTCCACACTCCTCTCCTGTACATACCCATCACTGTCATACCTCCACACTCCTCTCCTGTACATACCGATCACTGTCATACCTCCACACTCCTCTCCTGTACATACCCATCACTGTCATACCTCCACACTCCTCTCCTGTACATACCGATCACTGTCATACCTCCACACTCCTCTCCTGTACATACCGATAACTGTCATACCTCCACACTCCTCTCCTGTACGTACCGATCACTGTCACACCCCCCACACTCCTCTCCTGTACATACCGATCACTGTCATACCTCCACACTCCTCTCCTGTACATACCGATCACTGTCATACCCCCCACACTCCTCTCCTGTACATACCGATCACTGTCATACCCCCCACACTCCTCTCCTGTACATACCGATCACTGTCACACCCCCCACACTCCTCTCCTGTACATACCGATCACTGTCATACCTCCGTACTCCTCTCCTGTACATACCGATCACTGTCATACCTCCGTACTCCTCTCCTGTACATACCGATCACTGTCATACCCCCCCACACTCCTCTCCTGTACATACCGATCATCGTCATACCCCCACACTCCTCTCCTGTACATACCGATCACTGTCATACCTCCACACACTCCTCTCCTGTACATACCGATCACTGTCACACACCCCCCCCACACTCCTCTCCTGTACATACCGATCACTGTCATACCTCCCACACTCCTCTCCTGTACATACCGACTGTCACTGTCACACCCCCCACACTCCTCTCCTGTACATACCGATCACTGTCATACCCCCACACTCCTCTCCTGTACATACCGATCACCGTCATACCTCCACACTCCTCTCCTTTACATACCGATCACCGTCATACCTCCACACTCCTCTCCTGTACATACCGATCACTGTCACACCTCCACACTCCTCTCCTGTACATACCGATCACTGTCACACCCCCCCACACTCCTCTCCTGTACGCACCGATCACTGTCACACACCCCCCACATTCCTCTCCAGTACGCACCGATCACTGTCACACCCACACTCCTCTCCCGTACGTACCGATCACTGTCACACCCCCCACACTCCTCTCCCGTACGTACCGATCACTGTCACACCTCCACACTCCTCTCCCAACGTACGACGTACCGATCACTGTCACCTCCACACTCCTCTCCCATACACACCGATCACTGTCACACCCCCCACACTCCTCTCCCGTACACACCGATCACTGTCACACCTCCACACTCCTCTCCCGTACACGCCGATCACTGTCATACCCTCCACACTCCTCTCCCGTATATGCCGATCACTGTCATACCCCCCCCACTCCTCTCCCGTACACGCCGATCACTGTCACCCCCCCCCACACTCCTCTCCCGTATGCGCCGATCACTGTCACACCCCCCACACTCCTCTCCCGTATATGCCGATCACTGTCACACCCCCCACACTCCTCTCCTGTATATGCCGATCACTGTCACACCTCCCACACTCCTCTCCTGTACATACCGATCACTGTCACACCTCCACACTCCTCTCCTGTACATACCGATCACTGTCATACCCCCCACACTCCTCTCCTGTACATACCGATCACTGTCATACCTCCACACTCCTCTCCTGTATATGCCGATCACTGTCACACCCCCCACACTCCTCTCCTGTACATGCCGATCACTTTCACACCTCCACACTCCTCTCCTGTACATACCGATCACTGTCACACCCCCCACACTCCTCTCCTGCACATACCGATCACTGTCACACCCCCCACACTCCTCTCCTGCACATAGCGATCACTGTCACACCCCCCACACTCCTCTCCCGTACATACCGATCACTTTCACACCTCCACACTCCTCTCCTGTACATACCGATCACTGTCACACCTCCACACTCCTCTCCCGTACATACCGATCACTGTCATACCCTCCACACTCCTCTCCTGTACATGCCGATCACTTTCACACCTCCACACTCCTCTCCCGTACATGCCGATCACTGTCACACCCCCCACACTCCTCTCCCGTACACGCCGATCACTTTCACACCCCCCACACTCCTCTCCCGTACATACCGATCACTGTCACACCCCCCACACTCCTCTCCTGTACACGCCGATCACTTTCACACCCCCACACTCCTCTCCTGTACACACCGATCACTTTCACACCTCCACACTCCTCTCCTGTACACGCCGATCACTTTCACACCTCCACACTCCTCTCCTGTACACGCCGATCACTTTCACACCTCCACACTCCTCTCCTGTACTGGGGTCCTTCTGGGTCTCGGGATCTGGGCGGAGGGATGACAGGTCAGGGGAAGGATTGCTCCTTTGTAAATAGTAATAGGAGGTCAGGGATATTGATGGTGACTCCGCCCCTTTCCCTTCCAGAATTCCACAAATGACACCAACCCTACGAGAACCTTTCATGTTTTATTCCTGTAGACGTGACACCGACACCGTTGCTGGAATCCATTATTGATCGGGCTCTAGGATCGGGTGTCACTATACATCACCTCCATACAATGAGGTGTCATCCATTCAGCCTGGCCTGGGGGACGGGAAGGATGCACACCACCTCTCTGGTCAGCCATTGGGTGAGTTCTCGATGAATTTTCTGCTTGTTGAATGGTTTCCCCGTCCTTCAGGTTCCTCAGAATGTGGACATTACTTTTTACATATAGCCGTGGCCAAACGTTTCTAGAATGACACAAATATTCATTTTCACAAAGTCTGCTGCCTCGGGTTCTATGATGGCAATTGGCATATATTCCGGAATGTTCTGAAGAGCGATCCGGTGAATTACAATGGGCTGCAAAGTCGCTCTTTGCCATGAAAATGAACTGAACCCCCAAAAACATTTCCACTGCATTTCAGCCACAAAAGGATCAGCTGACATCATGTCAAGGATTCTCTCGTTAACACGGGTGTCAGTGTGGGCGAGGACAAGGCTGGAGGTCGCTCTGTCATGCTGATTCAATTAGATTAAAGACTGGAAGCTTTATAAGGAGGGCGGTGCTTGAAATCATTGTTCTTCCTCTGTTAACCATGGTTACCAGCAAGGAAACATGCAGTCATCATTGCTTTACAATTCATGGGCAAGGATATTGCTGATACTAAGATTGCACCTGGATTTTCAAGGAGAGCAATTCAATGGTTGTGAAGAAGGCTTCAGGGCGCCCATGAATGTCCAGCAACCACCAGGACCGTCTCCTAAAGTGGATTGAGCTGTGGGATCGGCACCACCAGTGCAGACCTCGCTCAGAAATGGCAGCAGGCAGGTGTGATGTATCGGCACGCACAATGAGGAGACGTTCGGAGGATGGCCTGGTGTCAAGAAGGGCAGCAAAGAAGCCACTTCTCTCCAGGAAAACCATCGGGACAGACTGATATTCTGCAAAAGGTCCAGGGATTGGACTGCTGAGGACTGGGGTGGGGGGAGGAAGTCATTTTCTCTGATGAATTTCCTTTCCGATTGTTTGGGGCATCCAGGAAAAGGCTTGTCCAGAGAAGAAATGGTGAGCGACACCATCAGTCCTGTGTCATGCCAACAGTGCAGCATCCTGAGACCATTCATGTGTGGGGTCTCTTCTCAGACAAGGCCGTGGGCTCACTTACAATTCTGCCTGAGAACACCGCCGTGAATGAAGAAGGGTCCAAAAACCTCCTCCGAGAGCGACTTCTCCCAACCATCCAAGAACAGTTGGGTGAGGAACAATCTTCCAGCATGATGGAGCACCTTGCCAGAAGGCAGAAGTCCTAACTAAGTGGCTTGGGGAACAAAACATCGACATTTTGTGTCCATGGCCAGGAAACTCCCCATTCTTCATCCCATTGGGAACTTGTGGTCAATCCTCAACAGGCGGGTGAACACAAAAACCCCACAAATTCTGACCAAGTCCAAGCCTTGATGATGCAAGAATGGCCATCAGTCAGGATGTGGTCCAGAAGGTGATGGACAGCGTGCCGGGGGGATCGCAGAGGTCTTCAAAAAGACGGGTCAACACTTCAAATATGGACTCTGCATAAATGTCATGTCGTTGTCAATGAAAGCCTCGGATACGTATGGAATGTTCGTCATTCTACGTCATACATACCTTCATGTATACCAGAGGAACATCTGACACAAAGACCTGGAAACACGGAAGCAGCAGACTGAATATTCATATTTGTGTCATTCTCAAAACGCTTGGCCAGGGCTGTACAAACAAGAAAATCTGAGGCTGGAGGAAATCAGAGTGTTGTGTCCAATGGTGGACTGCTGTGGCTCTATAGAGAAGGCCTTATAGCAGAGGTTGTCATGAGGTGTAGGGCCACAACTGCGGCCACTAATGTTAGGAAGGGCTACACATATGCTCATAATACGTAATGCTATAAAATGGGGTCAGAGACTGCAGACTTACCAGGAGAGACGGTCAGAGACTGCAGACGTGGTGCAGGAGACGATGAGAGACTGCAGACGTGGTGCAGGAGACGGTCAGAGTCTGCAGACACGGTACAGGAGACGGTCAGAGACTGCAGACGTGGTGCAGGAGACGATGAGAGACTGCAGACGTGGTGCAGGAGACGATGAGAGACTGCAGACGTGGTGCAGGAGACGGTCAGAGAATGCAGACGTGGTGCAGGAGACGATGAGAGACTGCAGACGTGGTGCAGGAGACGATGAAGACTGCAGACGTGGTGCAGGAGACGGTCAGAGACTGCAGACACGGTACAGGAGACGGTCAGAGACTGCAGACGTGGTGCAGGAGACGATGAGAGACTGCAGACGTGGTGCAGGAGACGGTCAGGGACCGCAGACACGGTGCAGGAGACGGTCAGAGATTGCAGACACGGTCAGGAGACGGTGAGAGACTGCAGACGTGGTGCAGGAGACGGTCAGGGACCGCAGACACGGTACAGGAGACGGTGAGAGACTGCAGACGTGGTGCAGGAGACGGTCAGGGACCGCAGACACGGTACAGGAGACGGTGAGAGACTGCAGACGTGGTGCAGGAGACGGTCAGAGACTGCAGACACGGTACAGGAGAAGACCAGAGACTGCAGACACGGTACAGGAGAAGACCAGAGACTGCAGACACGGTACAGGAGACGGTGAGAGACTGCAGACGTGGTGCAGGAGACGGTCAGGGACCGCAGACACGGTACAGGAGACGGTCAGAGATTGCAGACACGGTCAGGAGACGGTGAGAGACTGCAGACGTGGTGCAGGAGACGGTCAGGGACCGCAGACACGGTACAGGAGAAGACCAGAGACTGCAGACACGGTACAGGAGAAGACCAGAGACTGCAGACACGGTACAGGAGAAGACCAGAGACCGCAGACGTAGTGCAGGAGACGATGAGAGACTGCAGACATGGTGCAGGAGACGGTCAGGGACCGCAGACACGGTCAGGAGATGGTGAGAGACTGCAGACGTGGTGCAGGAGACGGTCAGGGACCGCAGACACGGTACAGGAGACGGTGAGAGACTGCAGACGTGGTGCAGGAGACGGTCAGGGACCGCAGACACGGTACAGGAGACGGTGAGAGACTGCAGACGTGGTGCAGGAGATGATGAGAGACTGCAGACGTGTTGCAGGAGACGGTCAGGGACCGCAGACACGGTGCAGGAGACGGTCAGGGACCACAGACACGGTGCAGGAGATGGTCAAGGACCGCAGACACGGTCAGGAGACGGTGAGAGACTGCAGACGTGGTGCAGGAGACGATGAGAGACTGCAGACACGGTGCAGGAGACAGTCAAGGACCGCAGACACGGTCAGGAGACGGTGAGAGACTGCAAACGTGGTGCAGGAGACGGTCAGGGACTGCAGACGTGGTACAGGAGACGGTCAGGGACTGCAGACGTGGTACAGGAGACGGTCAGAGACTGCAGACGTGGTACAGGAGACG